TAAAGTCAGAATTTTGAGAAAAAAGTCAGAAATTAAAGTCAGAATTTTGAGATTAAAGTCAGAATTTTGAGAAAAAAGTCAGAATCTTGAGATTAAAGTCAGAATTCCTTTTTTTCCAGAGGCCGTAATCCTCCTCCGTAGTACGAGGCATGAAAAGGAGCTTCCAGTCGTTCAAAACAAACCAGCTGTTCAGTTTTTTTCCTGAGCAGGAAACGTGTCAGCCTCTGGATCCTGCAGGCTGTTGGCTCACTTTCTTTGAACTGACCCAGAGTGGCAAAGCAGCCGAGTGAAAAGAGTTATTTTTTATTTTTACTGGAATATTTTGCTCAAACATGAACTCAATCCTGGACTCAGGTGGTTAAAGTGAGAACTCACACAGCTCAGTACGACTGACAAAAACATTTCATGTTTGAAGCCACTGAGGCAGACTTCACAGGTTTCACTTCACTCACTGAGAAAAGAAAAAAACTAAAGTAGATGTAGTTTTTTTTAAAGAATATATGATTAAAATGTAAATGTGATGAATATGTCTGAAAAAGATTAAATACTAATTGCAGGTTTTGTGCCGCCCTTCAAACAGTTTTTATTCATGAATGAAACCTTGATCCTGATTCCAACAGAAGGAAAACAGATCCTGTTGCACCAGAAAACCTGACTCTGTTTCAGGATTAAAACTTGTTTCTGTTCCCCAAAAACCTTGTTCTTATTTCAAAATAAAACATGAAACTGGTTCAGAAAAAAACTTGTTTCTATTTTAGGATCAAACCTGATTCTGTTCCAAAACTGAAACCTTGGTCTGTTTTATATAAACCAGATTTTGTTTTGGAATAAATCTTGATTCTGGCCCAGAATGAACCCTGATTCTGTTCCAGGATAAATCCTGTTTATGGCCCAGAATAATACTTGATTTTATTTCAAAATAATACATTTCTTTTCCATAATAAAATAAGATCTGGTTTTATCCTGGAACAGGATTAGAATTTATCGAACCTGATTCTGCTTCAGACTAAAACCTGTTTGGTTCCAAAATTAGACAATTTTATTTCAAAACGAAGCAGATTAAATTTTGTTTTTGTTTCAGAATAAATCCTGATCCTTCTGGGATCAAACCTGATTCTGTCCCAAAACTGAAACGTTGTTTTATTTTATATGAACCTGATTTTGTTTTGGAATAAATCTTGTTTCTGGCCCAAAATTAACTCTGATTCTGTTGCTGTTTCAGTACCAAAATAAAACTTGATTTTATTTCAAAACAAAACAAGAAACTCTTTCAGAATAAAACCTGATCCTGTTCTTGGACTAAACTTGATCTGGCCCCAGAATCAAACCTGAATCTGTTCCAAAACTGAAACCTTGGTCTGTTTGACATAAACCTGATTTTATTTTGGAATAAATCCCGATTCTGACCCAAAATAAAACTTGATTTTATTTCAAAATAAAACACCATTCTCTTTCAGAATAAAACAAATCCTGACCCTGTTCCAGGATTAAACCAGATCTTGTTAATCAAACCTGACTCAGCATCAGAATAAAACCTGACCCCGCAGAACAAAACCAAATTCTGCTCTATAATAAAACCCGATCCGGTCCCAGAGGATCCAGACCCGCTTCATAAACCTGACAGAACGTGTTGAGATGAGGCCGGCGTGGCGCAGAGCTTTGTGTACTCCCTCAGCCGTGACTTTGACAAACAGCCTGTAGTTACTGGTTTCTGATTGGACCAAATGAAGCATAATCAAGATAAATGTGTCCGCCTGCTTCCATTCCACCCCGACGGCCCCAGGCTGCTTAAATCTCTCATGTTTCAGCTCAATCAAATCAATACCTTATTTATTGCTGCCAACACCCTCGTGATGCCGAGGAACAGTAATTAATTTAGTTTCTCAATAATCAGGATGTTTTATGAGCAGGAGAAAACATTTCATACCTAACTGGACTGAGCAGAACATTCAGCTCTTTGTGGCACAACAAGAGATGACAGTTATTTTGCAATTAAAATTGTTCCAATAATTGCTTATTGCAGTGCCGGCTGTAGCCATTTTGGTGCCCTAGGCGAGTTGAAACGCACCTTCCCCCCGAACTATGTCCCACCCACCCCAATTTGAACCCCTAAAAACAAGTTTGACAGTGTAAGGTACTATGGTAAACTTATATTTGCTTTAAACACAAACATACATCACACAACAAATTAAATGAATAAATATAATTAAATGAAAAGGGTAAACAAAAGACCCTGTTCACAATTTGTGCAAAGATTTAGAAAATCCTCTCTTTTTGGAAAATATAAGTCGGATTTTACCTCAAAAGGTCCTCTGCTGACAAACTCAGTCCTCACTGTGTCAGAATGGATGTCGGCAGGATCAACGGGCTGCTTTGATGTCAACCTGAGAGGCACTATTAGCCCCTCCCCCGTCAGAGTGTCGGGGTGTTTTATGTTTAGAGTAGTTTATTTTCCCTGTAATACTTCATTGTTTTTTTTAAGAATGAAAGGGGCGCTGAGCAGAGTTACAACCAGGGATTACAAACAATTACTTTTTTTCTTTTGCAGTTCGGTGCCCCCTCCAGCAGATGGCGCTCTAGGCAACCGCCTAGTTCGCCTATGCTAAGCGCCGACTCTGGCTTATTGGATAGATGTACTTATTATTATCAAAGGAAATAACTCAACAGAAGATTTAAAGCCATTTTTCATCCTGATGAACATCAACTCCTCTTCTAAAGCTTTATTTTCCCCTGAAAATAACAACAAATATTAGTTTAAGATCAAGTAGATCTTTCAACTGGTTTTAACGTCACCTTTAAAGTGAAAAACCAGAGGACTGCTCACATCTGCAGGTTTCAAACCAAATATTTTGGGTCAAAATTCTGCTCAGAAACAGAAAAACTCAGTGCACATGGTTCAGAGTCGGGTTTGACACAAACTGAAGCTGTCAAGCGTCTTATCACAGGGAGAGTAACTGAACTCTGCCCACACCCCACATATCACCGACAGCAGACAGGAAGATAAAAATGATCCTTAACTCTTTCAGAGCCACACAGCTGCAGGATTTTATCTGTGGGGTTTGCAACACAGACAGGAAGAAACTGGAAAAGTCTAAATCAACACGAGTGTTTGCAAAGACAAAAGCCTGACTAAGAAACTGATCTTTGTGCAGAGTTCATGGTTTACACTGAAGCCTGCAGAGTTTATGTTTAAACAGTTCAAAGTTCAGCTGCAGGCTGGCGGAAACCAAATATTCACACGTGCACACAGTCGACACAAACWTTTATTATTAAATGTTTTATTCACATTCCCAGTCAGGTAAATTACTCTTGCACATCACATTCAGTAATAGGCTCAGTCAAACTGTGAACAGGGCGTCCCCTCAGCGCCGCCCCCTACAGGAGGAGGACGGTGCTGAGCACCCTGTACGCCATGGAGGTGGTGACCAACACGCCCACCAGGTAGGAGAGCCCCCGGCTGGGCTGAGGCAGGGCACCGATGTAGGCGATGGTGTGGAAGAGGCGGCAGGCTGTGAACGTGCGGAAGTGAAGCAGGGCCGTGGAAAGTTCCGGTCCGGTCAGAGCGTAGAGCAGGCCGATGAAGAAGAAGGGAACGATGTTCTCCAGGTCGTTGCGATGACACCTGCAGGATGAGAGGCAGGGATGACTTTAGGAGCTGTTATCAGATATGTCACTCTTTTCTAAATCTAATAATAATAATAATAATAATAATAATAA